AAAACCTGAAGAACCCTATAACCGTTAAAAAAATCAAATTTGGTAACAAAAACCTTTGCAAGAAGAAAACTCCGTCTCACTGGCGGTGGCGGCTATGGCGGCATTAGGTGCCACCGAGCAGGTTAGGGCTCACAGCAACTCAGACACAACAGGACAAGCCACCACCCAGTCTGTGTCACCCTCCCAAGCACTGTCCTCATGTCTGAGCGCATCAGTGCAGCTACCGCGCCAGTCCATCTTCTCGAATGTCATCCTTCCTCAGCTTTGCTGCCCCTCCTTTACCAAGCACGATGTCCTTCTCCAGATAATATGTGCAAACTACGCAAGGAAAAGCCTCGCCATCCTTGCCTCTAAGGAGCATTCTGGCTGTACTTCTTCCAAGACAGAATTGTTGGTCTTTTGGCCGTCTGTGGTATTTTCAATATTCTTCTCCAGCACCATAATTCAAATGCATCAGTTCTTTGGTCTTCCTTAGCCAAAGTCCAACGTTCACATCCATATGAGGCAATGGACAATACCATGGCTTGGGCCAAGCGCACCTTAGACCTCAAAGTGATTATCCTTGCTTTTCAACACCTTAAAGAGTTCTTGGGCAGTAGATTTACCCGGTGAAATGTATTGCTTGATCTCTTGACTGCTGCTTCCATGGGCATTGATTGTGGATCTAAGTAAGACTAAATCCTTGACAACTTCCACATCTTTTTTTCCCATTTATCATGATGTTGTCTGTTGGTCCCATTGTAAGGATTTGGGTTCTTTTTGACATTGAGTTTGTCTACACTGACGGCTGTAATCCTTGATCGTCATCAGCAAGTGCTTCAAGTCCTCCTCATTTTCAGTAAGCAAGGTTGTGTCATCTGCATATTGGAGGTTGTTAATAAGCCTTCCTCTAATTCTGATACTGAATTCTTCTTCATAAAAGCCTGATTCTTAGATCAGAAAAAGGTTCTACCAGATGCTTAAAACACAACACCAAAACAAACACAAACAAACAAAACAAAACAAAAACCACAACACCAATATTCTGCAGACTTTTTCAAAAATAGGAAAAATAAGATCATAGCGTGGCTCATTTTATGAGACCTATAATAATCCTAATACCCAAACCTGAAAAGTTGCCTAAAAGAAAAAGAGCAGACCAATATATTAGTCAGTAAAATCTAACAACCTATGAATATACACCGTGATCAAATAGGATGTTTGTAAGGTTGGCTTGACATTCAAAAACGGCAGTGGAAACTCTCTCTCTTTGCCCCTTAGCCTCCCTGCTTCCTGCCTGGGACTCTGCCTGCCTCCAGGAATGGGTAGCCCTCTATGGACCACCCCTGGCCTGAGAGCTGTCAGCGCCCTGCCACGGTTCCACCGAGCTTGGATACACCGACTGCACCCATCGGCCTCTGCTCCTTCTGCTTCTCCTTCCACGTCCTGCGGCATCAGCCTGCAGCTCCCTGAGTCTGAAGGAGGCCTTGGCTTGCATGGGACTGATAGCCTAGGCGAAGCTGCCTTCTTGAGGTACAGTTTTTTCCTGTACATCCATGGGTATCACTGGATTTGTATCTCTAGACCAGTGGTCGGCAAACTGCGGCTCTCAAGCCACAAGAGGGCTCTTCTGGCTCGCACAAGTGGCTCTGAAGTAAAATGGGCAGGAAAAATGTTCAGGGTCTTATTCAGGTAATGATGAGTTCATTTTTAAATTGTGGTGAGGGACAGGATTGGCCTTTCCATCTCAAGAGTTTACCGACCCCTGATGTAGAGGCCCCTCAGAAGACACGGTTAACAATCTGCTTCTGAGAGGTCACGACCTTGAAAACATGGGACGTTGCTCTGCTCCGGCATGCACGGGGTCAGGGTCACCGCCGCCAGTCTTCTCAACCGCAACTGGGGGCAGAAGGACAGTTCTGAGGACAGGAAGAGGCTGCGTGATGGGGAGATGGAAGGCAGGCAATTGGGTAAGAAGTGGGGGGATGAAAGAGAGCTGGGGTTCTTCTGAGATGACCCCCGCAGGGATTTAGGGGCTGTTGCCCCGACTGGGGGTTCAGCTCAGATTAGAAAGCTCAAAACTCCCTGTTTCAGGGTCCACTCTGACTCGCAGCCATCCTACAGGGCAGAACGGAACGGCTGCCCACACGTCCCAAGGTTTAATCTCGGAGGGCCCCGGCGGCATCCTGGCTCACTCCCAGGACTGCGAACCTTGTCGCACTGCTCTGGGATCAAAGCCATCAGTTGCTCCTGGGGAGAAAGATGAGGCTGTCTTCTCCCATAAAGATGTGCATCCTCAGCAACCCACGGAAGCTGGTCCACTCTGTTCTATCCGGTCTCGGAGTCGGAATTGACACAACAGCAGTTTGTTTGTTGTTTGGGAGTTTTTTTCCCGGAGCAGCGCCTGGTGGGTTCGAACTGCTGGCCGTTGTGGTCAGCAGCCTGGCACGCAGCCCACGGGTGCCACTAGCGTGTCTCCTCTCAGATTAGAAGGCAGCCTAAGTATCACAGGGGGAGGTACCAACAGACCTCGAACTCTGCCCCAAAATACCTGCCATCGAATCTATTCTGCCTCCTGGCAACCCTATAAGACAGGGTAGAAGTGCTTCCATGAGTTTCCAAGACTGTAAGCCTTTCTGGGAGGAAAATGCCTCATCTTTCTCCCAAACAGCAGCTGGTGTTTTTGAACTGCTGACCTTGTGGTTAGCAGCCCAACATGTAAGTACCACACACATCAGAAACTCTATAGAGGGACTGGATTAGATGCTCGGAGGCAAGACTCACCCACCCAGTCCCAGTCTGCCCACACCTCCCACTGCCTAATCAAGGGCCAGAGGTTTGAAATAATGGAAGCAACATCAATACAAGGTGGGGGAAGGGACGAGAAGGCGTGTCTACTGCCTAAAGCAGAGGTCCTCTGCTTCAGCACCAGTGATGCTGATTAGCTGATTCCCACAGCTCTCAGCCCAAGCCCACCACTCTGCAACAGCCAGCCCCAAATCTCCCTCCTGCCCCTGAGTGGCAGGCAACTACACAGCACCCCACCCACTACCCCGAAAGCTAGCCCTTCAATCCCGCAGTATTGACTGAGACACTAGTAGCTCTGCAGCAGGAGGGAGGCCTGGATTGGACTCACAGCCAGAACCACCACCCATCCACCACTGACGGTTTACCTGTTGCCAGGTTGCTGTGCCCTGGTGGTTACAAGCTGGGCTGTGATTGCAAGGTTAGCAGTTCAAAACCACTAGCTGCTCCTCGGGACAAAGATGGGGTTTTCTACTCCCATAAGCAGTTACATCATATCATTATGTGCTCGCCTCCCTGATATGATCGCTGAAGACAAATGGGTACATAAGCAAATGTGGTGAAGAAAGCTTTACATAGTGCCCGGCTATCAAAAGATATAGC